AAAAGATATTGATATGATAGCTCATAGGTTAGGACAAAGCACTTCTCCAATTAATCACATCCTTCGTCTCTATAAAATATCCCCTCTTCATGCCCAGTCTTATTTTGGAACAACCCACTAAACCTACCCTTCTCTTCGCTTCTTTTTTAAGACAATTGTTCCGCCTTCCAGCATCTGTAATGCCATTGTTGAGTATTTCTCAATCTCTCTTTTTGCTCACAATTCTCCCCAGATCCTTCAAAGAAGAAGGATGCCTTTTTACAATTGTGCGCTCCTATTCCAAACACAATAAATCATTGAATCTTGTTTTTTTATACTATCAAATGTACTTTCTTCTTCACAGAGTTTCCTAAGCGACTCACCAGAAATTGCGGTGTTCTATTCCAATATTTGATTTCATCCAAAACAACCATAAATCGAAGCTCACTATGAAAGCCTGTTGCAAACATGTACGTCTGAAAACGGAATTACTTATCAATATTCCTCACTGAACCAGAAGATCAACGAAACTCCAATGAATTAAACAATCTCTGATATTCCGTGAAGTAATTAATCAAATAGTCTTTGTAATTCATAAAATCAACGATAAAGTAACCAAACGGTAAAAAGCAGAAGAAATAGGAATTTTCCAGTTAGACAACACTTGAATTTAGTGACATAAAAGCATTACAAAGGTTTTTTATTGACATATTACACTGTCATTAATTACGGTAAATATACTGCTCTCTAGTGAGCAGACACAAAGTTCTTAATGGTGAGAATTTTGTAATACATATTAGCTGATTTTCGGATTGTTCAGTTTTGTCATGAGCATGGAAATGCCATATTAGTTTACAGAATTTTTTCATAGATGGATTAGTAAATACGGCATGAAAGTCTCAAGTGGCCTTCAAACTACTCATTACACAATTATTCAATTATATCTCAGCATTCTTGTAGATGTATCTCAAATCATATCTTGGCGTATGCAAAAGTGAGCAGTGGATGAAAGTTCAGAGATTTTTCCTTCATTTCGAAGTCTTCTACTCAGATTGCGGAGCAAACGTAATCAAAATAATTGAATAAAATAAGGCCATAGCATAAGGAAAATGAGCTAATATCGAGGATACTGCACAGCAATCAATATGTTCGACAACTTTTCACACGTAACGGGTGGTGGGAGGTTAAGTTGACTAGGATCTCTCGGCGCCCATTAAATATACAATATTATTCATGTTTAAGGGTGGAGTACGATTTCCTAGATTCCTGAGTCAATGGTTTCGATTTTATTGTCAAGTGTGGCAGCTCGAGCTTCCGGTCGACTAAATGGAACTTTGTTTCAAGGAAAAGTATGCTCGATAAGTTAGTAAATGAGATTCTTAATCTTTGAGAATCTGATGCCTTTTGATCTTTGCTCTTACCGGCACAAAAATGTTCACAAAATTTTAAAATTATTCTGAAAAATTTGTTATTCAGACTAAAGATAATGGTCTGAAGGTGAATATAACTGAAAATAAACATTGCCAGTGCCCTATTGCGACTGATCAGATGAGAGCGCTTCGTGATTTGTCGCAGTTTGCTTTTCTTTTTGAATGTCACGGCACAGTTATCAAAGTTGATTAGTACTAGGCAAAACAAACCTTGGGTGCGTTTTCGTGACAGACATCAAAAGATCGACTGTCTGTGATCGATCTGAATAAATAGGGTTCTATTTAGAAAGCTCACCGTTTCATATCGGTCTTCGTGTGGTCATCTACTTTATCTAGGAGATTATAAACGATCGTGACCAATTTGCAGTAGAATCGTTTAGCACACCTACTTTCCTCACAGTGAGGCTCAAGGAATCGTACATTGGCCACCAGTCTTCGAGACTCCTTGTTCTCCAGTGCTTTTATTACCTTTTCTCAAATTTTGCACCTTTTTGTCTTGCTGCTATGTCTGTCGCACATGGAAATATCTGTACACGTTTTGTGATGAGTTACTAAACCAGAATATCATTCCTTCGTGTTTAATATCTTTCGCTTCCTACTACGCGTTTCCTGCTTGACTAACATCATTAAAACAAGCTTTTATAATTTACCTCTAGTATGGCAGTAAGACTTTGATGCTGAATTCATGCTGTTATATTGTGTTAAAAAGAAAATTTCCGCATTTCTTTGTCTTTGTTGATTACTAGGTTATGCATAAAATCTTCTCAATACACCGGAAGAATTCAAATTTCATGTTTTTACACTGTACCGGCTATTCTAGATTTGTGAGAATATTTCAGGAACATTTCTATTAGGACGCCAAGGCATCACAAGTTCTAGTGTATCAAAGTTCAATTTACTCTACGGATATCAAAGATGACGACGAGGATGAGTTTGGTAGAATTTTAAAGATATCCTGTACCAAATACACAGAATATCCTCGTTATCCTGATTTACAGAAATTTGGAGTATTACTTATCACAATGGCTGTCAGCTCAACAGGGTCTATGAAGCGAAATCGCATCCCCGACCAAACTCTTTGAAGGTTGATGGCCGACAGCTAATATAGAGATGTTGAATAAACGAGTAGTGGTGCGAAGAGACCTCGGTGGTGCAGTGGTAGCACTCGTCCCCGGTATAGATGAAACGCGGGTTCGACTCCCGTCTGAGGTCACGTTTTTGCTCACCACTCAATTCTTAGGTATGTGTATTACAGAATATGCACTAGTCACAGGAAAATCTGATGTCAAAGCAATGAAATGGTAGATAAGCTGGGAACGGGATCAAACTAGCACTGCCTTCGTAGTGGGGAACACCACTATCGTTGCATCATCCTCCCCTTGTATCGAAGCTCAGATTTACAGTTTTTAAAAACTTCAGTTTGATCCCTTTGTTTTTATTAAGGCAATGTCACTACCATTCTTTATACTTGAGCTTGTTTAGTGATATTTCTCCTAGTCCTAATTTCCTCCAAGAGGCAAATGACTGCTTATTTAAGAGTACTAAACTTTCCCATATAACAATATTTTCCGCTATGAAGAGTAATATCAGTGATAATAAACCACTTCACGTACTAATAATTCGGACACACTTTGTTCGCTGCAATACTTTCAGGACACTTTGAGCAGTGAACGATGCTTCTACCCACATTTGAGTTTGTAGAGTATTACGCTGAAAATTAAAAATGTGCCAAAAATTGGCGTGAAAAGTGGCAGATCACCTGGGTGGGATGAAAGTCTGCTCATGTACCGTTTTGCCAAGAAAGGTCATTTCTCTCGGAGCCCCCCAGATTCAGTGAATCTTGTGTTTAATCGATGAACGCGTTTAGGATATCGGCTGTCAGCGGTATAGAGTGAGCAGAGGCTGCCCGTAATCAAGCGATCGCAGCCATGCCTCTAGGTAGATCAGATTGGCACACGTAAGATGAATTTTTTCTACAGTGAATAAAACATATCAACACAAAAGAGTGGAGAGTATTCAGTATGTGGTAGTGGATAGTCGCTTATATTTGTTCTCTCCACCAGCACTACCTTAGTAGAGTCACGGACATCAAGTCGTTGAGAATATTTTGGCACCTTTTTTTCTAATAAGAAACAAGATTTAAGATATTTTTTCAAAAGCTGAAATTTCTCCACTCTTTTCAGAAAGATGTTCTTATTCAAAAAATGGCTAAAGTGCATAACTTAATGGTATTAACGACTCTTAGTAAGACAAGACAATGATGCGACCTCGCATTTGGCTTACTAAGTCTCTTATCTCTTTCTGTTTACGTAAATTAGTGCCACACTCATCCAGGACAGTATTGCTCCTTTCTGCACAGCTGTTCCATAGTTCGATCTGATCACCATTCAACGATATCTTCATGCAGATCAAAACTCCAGAAGTGCCGGCAAATCTATGATCTCGTGACTTTTGTGGGTGATGGACGCGAGAAAGAAATTGAACCAATGCATTGCTTTTATATGCTCATTATGGAATGTAAATTGATGTATTATAAAAAAAGACAACAACTATAGATATACCCAATTGGTGTAGAGCGAAGTTCAAAACTTTTGAGTCAATAGGGACTCGAACCTGCATAACACAACTCGCAGAAGTGGTGGCAAAGCAGGCGTTGGTAGTGCAACGGGTAGAGCATGTACCCCCGGATAGAATGTATTTTGGGTTCGATTCAGGTCTGACACAAAGGTTTTGCACATCATTCTGCGTCAGTGGGTATATCTATGAAATTATACTACCGCTAGACCTCTTATATAAAGAGAACTCTGTTTGATCATCGAAAATAATAGTTCATATCTATTTCTATCGCTCTGTACTACAACGTTGATTTTCTGCAGTGCTTATTACTTTTTGACTAAATCGTGCAACGACTAGGACATAAGCAAACGTGGTAGCAGCCAAGTTCATATGAAACGCCCGTCATCCATTGAGTGATCAACTTTGCTTGGAGATCGCAAATTAGAGCGTCAGCTCACCGGCAGAGCGTCACCTCACCAGCGGCGGCTCAGAGCGGCAGCACACCGGATCGTAGCTGCTTAAAGTGAAACAAAAAGGTTAGTTGTTCATCGCTATTGTCAAGAATTATTCCTTTTGATCCTATAAATATCATGGTTTTGTTAAGGTTCGGTAATTTTTCTTATAGTTCTTAAGTTGTTGATTTCGGCTATTCATAGTTTTCTTTTCCATTTCATGCCTGGGCACTTTATGCCTACGGGCCATTCAGCATCTAAGTCTGGAAGAAAGCCAGCATTGCGCTGCATTCCTGAACGGCGCTGGATCATCATAAGGTGAGTGCAGTCTCGCTTTTTGATTCAGTTTCGCAAAGTCTTCAAAAATTGGCTCTATCCGCTTTCTATAGTATCTTTACCATCTTGAATTCCATTCTTTGTAGTACGAATTGTAAAACACTATTTATATCAGCCTCTGTTGAGTCAATATTTCATTTACTCATTAACTCTAAGACAATTTTGTTAAACTCGGAATATTAATTTCTTCATAAGCTTACGCAAAAATGCTATCACTAAGATTTACCGAACTCAATAATGAGAATAAGCGTCAGTGGTGCAACGGTTAACATGCGCTCCAGGAAAGAGTGGGGTCCGGGTTTGAATCCCGTCCGGCGCAAATGCTTTTGCACAGCACTCACATTATTGGGTATTCCATAATGGCCGATTTTTTGCGATTTCCCTTCCTCAAAGCAGTTAGATCATAGACTGAAACGTGATCTGCTTCTCAAATGACTTTCATAACCTTAGCAGAAGAACGTTAACCATAGGCTTCCGTTTTTATAGTTAATAACTTCTTTTGAGCAATCACTGTGCTGTTCTCTTGAGCTCCTCGGCTAAACGAAGACCAGCGGCGCGTAGTCTCACATAGCTCAAGAATGTTCTTGGTTGAAGGCAGAAAAGTTAGTCCCTTATATTGCGTCAGTCCACTGAGTTATATTGCGTCATTCTACTGATGATCTTTCGCCACTTCTACTTGTAATCTGCTTTTGAATTAGTCAAGATTCTCAGAAATGCTTCCAGAGGTATTTCTCACAAATGTTTCATACTTCCTTTCATTATTATTTGAGCCAGCTTGTCATGTGGTCTGGTAAAGGCTCTTATACAGCCCGATACACGTGTTTCGTCCTTACAGACTCGTCAGCGGGCAGAATCCGTCGTCTTTCGATATTTATAGTCAGTTGTTTCGCGAGCCTTACACTCCTTGTAGAGAGTCATCGAAGACAAACGTTTTACACTCTATATCAAGTGAAATTATCACCTAACACAGAGTGTTTTCGCACTCGATTGCTATTTGTCTGGTATTTTCATCAAATTATCCCTTTATTTCGAGTGCTTTGTTTAGGCCATGCTCAAATTTCGATAGGTCCTTTCATTATTATTTGACAAAACAAAGCACTCGAAATAAAGGTTTCATACTTCTATGAGAGGATGGTAACTTTTAAATTAAAATCTCCTCTTTTATGTGTCTGCATCTTATACGTGCCTTGTGAAATATGTGTTTAACACTGGCGCTACCAAGTAATTGTTCTTCTGATAGGCGAAAAATGAAAAATTTGCCCCGCTAAAATATTTATTCCGGCACACTTCAAGAAGATTAGGTATACCGTAATTAGATTCATGCAACCACCATCTCCACCGTCGAAGCAATTCATGTAATTTTTCGTTTAGCGTGAGTGGTCGTATTAACGATTGCGTACTAATTGACATATGAGAGATTCTGGTGGAATTCAATCACTTCTGTATTTTGTCTGAATGGTCCTTTTCAAGAAAGGTTATGTAGTTGTGCACATTTCGTTGAAAAAGGAGAGCTGCATTAACCGATAACATTCTTCGCGCCATTCGAAATGCTTCTCCTCACGGCAAAAATCAAAGGAGAACATGATGCGTTGGAATCATAACATTTGCCTTTCTCAACCCACTCGAATTACTTCATTATCAATTGTTGTGCGGCAATGCTTTAACAATATAGTGTTGCCTTGTACAATCTCTTTTTCTAAAACTATGGAGAGGGTTTGATGGAAAAGTTGCGATTTTGTGCTTTATTTCCGATAGCGGTCAACCACTATTCCTAAACAGAACGCGTCTACACATTTTTCGATGAGCTCTGACTGGATAGCAGCTGTTCCAGCACTGTCAAACGTTTCTTTAGATTCAAGAAAAATTAGAACAAGGAGCATACAGTATTCCAAACAGACCTCAACTCGTGACACGGTCTGGAAGTGGTGCTTGCAGCAAAATCCCTTTCGGAATTCTTCTTGCTCAACTGACTGTGCCTCATCCACGGTCTTCCGTATAGGAAAAAAAGGATGGTACTTGCGAAGAACTCATAAAGTACAATCAGCAAGCATATTGGACGATAGTTGCAAAGATTTCTACTGCCACTCTTCTTAGGTAGGATAAGTCTGTCCGAAGTCCTCTATCGGTCTGGGATATATGTCTCTGAAAGTATAATGTCATATGTCTTGCGAGACATACATGCAGTTTTTGGCCATCAGCGAGGAAATTGGCAATGATGATATGACCTTCTGGAGCTGTGTCTTTCTTCATTGTGGTGGAAACAGTGGTGTTATTGTGTGGTCCTTGTATTGTCCCGGGCAAAGATTCGCTAGCTGTCCAAAGATGGTTGGATTGACCTTAGCGGCGCACTGACCTCTGAGCTTCGCTCTCTGGACTTCCGGGTTGCTGCGGCTTTTCCCTTTGAAGTGGTGAGTTGCACTACTAAGTTCCTCCGGCTGAACTTTATACTACGTGATCGACTGATTTACTGCCAACTTGAAAAGATAGTGTTCAAGTGCCCTGTGAGTGTTGAACATAATTCATGCCGTAACTGTAGTATCAGTACACGTTTTTGCTGCATAACAGAGCGCTGAGAGGACCATTGTATCGAAAAGATGAGTATGGGGTGTGGAATCCGTTGTTCGGTCGGTGTCTTCTCAGAGAGGCCTACACTCGGTCCATGCTGCACTCCTTCTCTTTAGTTCTTCCTTCATGCTGTTCTTCATGCTCATTGAATGTTCAGCGCAAACGCACGGGATGGTCTCTGTAATCAAAGAACATTCCTGTTCAACCTGTTCATCTTCTCGTCATAGATTCCTTACGTGCTGGGTGTTCGACAGGTTTAGGCGTAGCCAAATCTTTTTTGCCGTTTATTTGAGTTCATCAAGCGTCGTCTGCTTGACTGATGCTTCTCGGAAAGATAACGATGCCATCAGCAAAACGAAGGTTTGACAAGATTCTTCATAACACGCACGCCGTACGCCTCTTTCAACACAGTCGAGCGACTTCAAAATCCATTGTAGTGCGGCCCTTAATAACTTTGCCAACATAGTTCGCCTTGTAGATTACCTTTGTCTATAACCATAGTGAGGGGTAGATAGAAAAGAAAATTTGTGCTGCAGTTTCGTAGCTGTTATCCAATGTTCTCAAATCGGACGGGTCTATCCTTTTATCGATGAGCTCTGAAGCTCTGACAGGATGGCATCCGTTCTAACGCTATCAAACGCTTTCACATATTTAATAAATATTAGAACAAAGAGCGTACACTATTCTCGACAGATCTCTATAACTGGTGACACGGTTTGGAAGTGGTGCACACAGTAGAATACCTTTCGAAATCTTGCTTAATCAAATGGATGTGCCTCATTTAAGGTCTTCGATACGGTAAAAGTGGTAGTAGCTTGGTAGCGTGGAGAGCTTTTGAACTACAATCAACAAAAATATTGTAAAGTGGTTGCTAGGATCTCTACTGTCACCCTTCTTAAGTAGAATGTGTGTTCTCGAGGTCATCCACTGGTGCGGGATTTATCTTTGTGAAAGTATAATGTCATATGTCTTGCGAAATGTACATGAAGTTTGTGGCCATCAACTTCAAGGAAATTGGTAGTGACGATATCAAGTTTTGGATCTGTGCCTCTCTTAATTCTGTCATCCAGCTTAAACTTCACAGGCTAGAATTTTAGGTCGTTTCTTACCGGTAGGGGTTTGGAGTCCGAGAAGGATGTTGTGAAACGGAATAGATTGGCTTAAAACTTCTCAGTAGTGCATATCATGGCAAGATATAGTTATAACCTCATCTTCGTTCAGCAGCGCGGAAAAAGGATACAATAGTCACAGATGTTCCGACTGCGACATTGATGTTTTGGAGCTGTATATATTTTCAACTCAAGTTAGGAGAAGAAATCAAGGCTACATCCCTTCTTTTTTTCCAAGCAACTCTTTGGTGGTATTGGAGATGCGAACCGGACGTTTTGTAAGGAAACTGATTTTAGTTCAACATTAGTTCTAAGTCCATCGACAAACATTTCGTAGTCATCGGTTGGATCTTCCTTCATTTGTCATTCATACGGATGACAATGAGTTCTCTTCGGTTTTATAGGACAGGAACTTTCGGAAAAATCTCTTTTGCTGTACGAGTTTTTCTACTAGACTATTAAAGTCATTCGAAAAGTTAAATCTCGGATAATCCAAAAATGCTCTTCCTTTTCGAAATGTCTTCCTACAACGCTGTAGCACTGAATATAAAATATTGCTCCGCATACATTAAACATGATCTCATTTATAATTCGCAAGAGAGAGTTCTCTCGCTAAACTTTGATTATCCATTAAAAAGCGCCATTCTTGTAGGATTTGAAAATATGTTGGTTTTTTGAAGGTTTTTATGACGCTTTAGCGAAAGAAAAATATAAAACTATACTTCACACGCGTTGCACATTACTACACGTTATCAGCCAGTTCTTTGGCAGGACAGAGCTTTTCCCGACGAAACTTCTAATAGTCAATAGATAGAGCAGATCCTAGAGATTTTAGAAATGCGATTGGTTTTAGAAAGACATTGGTACAGCACTGCAACAGGAAATTTAGAACTATGTATCACATGCATCCCGTTATATCTGGTGGATTTTCGTTCTTAGAAATTTTTTCCTTCAATTCGCAGCGACTGCTTATCTTTTTATATGGGCTATAGATAAAACTTTTCTCTGCAATCTTTAGGCTTAAAATTTCTATTTTCATTTCCTGGTGACGAATAAATCCGCTGTTAATCCTAAGCATAAATCTAAGCTCAAACAGCCTAAGCCTAAGCACGATAAGCATATAGACGTGTAGAATAAAACCTTCGGGCATCAGATTTATGTGTTTTATTGAGATTTATTATCAAAGGAGAAAAAATCTTGGTTCTTTCTGATCACAGAGGAACAAATGAAAAACCAATCTCATTCACTGGAGAAGAACTTTTTATAGGAGTGTTAGTAATCATTCAAAAGCTGAGACACGTGACTACGGCCCCACGACTCCGATCCTTCAAAACACCCCTTCGTGACATTGTGACATTCAAATAGGTCGCGTTTCATAAAACCACCTGTTTTTTCTCTTATCTCCCTCATATTTTGCTGGATGAAACGCTTTTGTCAGAGTGCCAGTACTCAAACTTTGACACGCGCTTCATAGATAGCTTCATGTTTGCTTTTAAGAAGCTTCTTTTCTTTTGATCCCCTCTGGGCTTTGATTTGTGCTTCAAACCCCGCCGGACGGAGCTTAGACTAGAAGTAAACATCTGATAGGGTGATACTTTCTTATTTCAGCGATGTGCTTGTTTCCTGCAAATACTGTTAATACTGT